CATGCTGCGTAACACGAGAATGAACCTCATTGGCTCTTGCTGAAGCTCAAACGTGTTGCGTAACACGAGAATGAACCTCATTGGCTCTTGCAGAAGCTCAAACGTGCTGCGTAACACGAGAATGAACATCATTGGTTCTTGCTGAAGCTTAAACGTGTTGCGTAACACGAGAATGAACCTCATTGGCTCTTGCAGAAGCTCAAACGTGCTGCGTAACACGAGAATGAACATCATTGGTTCTTGCTGAAGCTCAAACGTGCTGCGTAACACGAGAATGAACCTCATTGGTTCTTGCTGAAGCTCAAACGTGTTGCGTAACACGAGAATGAACCTCATTGGTTCTTGCTGAAGCTCAAACGTGCTGCGTAACACGAGAATGAACCTCATTGGTTCTTGCTGAAGCTCAAACGTGCTGCGTAACACGAGAATAAACCTCATTGGTTCTTGCTGAAGCTCAAACGTGTTGCGTAACACGAGAATGAACCTCATTGGTTCTTGCTGAAGCTCAAACGTGCTGCGTAACACGAGAATGAACCTCATTGGTTCTTGCACGACAAGCGAACATGCTTGAGCTTCCGTTTATCACAACTGATGTGTGAATTGATCAAACTTATATGTGAATAAAAGCCTAAATTCAACATGTTCATCATATAAAGCGATCATGTCTCTTCAGAAAAAAATTGACTCAACCACTCAATTCATGGATTAATTTTATGATCTCCTCATTAACTTTTTGAAGTGTCAAAGATTCAGTTGTCTAGCGGTCAATACAGGGATAGAAATCTCTTAGATTTGATAAAAAAAATCTTTGTGTTCTGAAGATGAACGATAGGCATACGGATTTGGAACGACATGAGGGAGAGTAAATGGTGACAGAATTCAATTTTTCGGTGTCTTGCTTGGTACCATTGTGTGTGTCTGTTCATAACTCAGGAGATGGCTTGATTGAAATCTGTGTTAGATGTGTCATTCTTATAAGAAATCATGTCTAAGACCCCGTCCACACTACTGCGTTTTCGTTTAAAAACGGAGACCTTTTGCTATGTTTGCACCTCCCGTCCACACTAAACCGGCAAAAACGGAGACCCAAAACGGAGAAGTTTAGAAACGCTGCCGATCCGTTTTTCGTTTTGATTCTCCGGAGGGCGTTTTAGTGTAGACGGGTCCAAACGGAGAACTTTAGAAACGATGACATAGTAGAGGCTCCCGCTCGGCTCTATGATTGGGTGTCATCAGTCATGGCGTATATCTTTGCTAGCCGCTGTTGTACAAGTAAATTCGGCATTTTACAACTCTATAACTGCCTACATGCGCCGGAGTCAAGCTATTATTCCAGCGATCTGTGACGATTCCCGTGTGCAGCGGCGGCGTTGACCGTACATGGAGCGTTGGTTTGGGGTTAACCCAGAGCATGGTGGGATCATTTTAGCAATGAAGTTGTGTTTACACCAGCACGCGCATGCCCAGTGTTGGTGAATGGTCACGTGATCCGCGTTTTCAGTCGTTTTAATGTGGACGGAGATCAATTCTAATACGCAGCTAAAACGCTGGTGTGGACGGAGATCGTATTCGTTTTAATTATCCGTTTCTGAAATAAAACGCAGTAGTGTGGATGGGGCCTAAACTGCACTCTCTGCTTAGAGCTGGAGACCACAGATAACGCATGATTACGTTGAGAGGAGGAGAAACAGCCACCTCTGAACTAAAGACAGTGTCTAACTGGTCAGAACTCATCCAGGAGGCTGGACAAACATTTGAGTTTAAAATCTTAGACGAGACATGTAGACGGTTAGACGAGCAGATGAAGAGGCACATCAAGATCAGAAGAACATGGGTTAAACAATATCATTCAAGCCATCTAGCTACTCTCGTCTCACTTTTCTTTCTCTTACTTAGTTTCTTTTCTTTTCCGTTGAGAGTCTCGGTTCTAAGTTAAGTTTTGCTGCAAAGTTTCGGTCAACGATTCAACAGCAAAGCCTGCTTCCAGCTCCCAACTTCATTCACAAGATTTTCCATCCATCCTCCAACACACCACGTGATTAGCCGCCCAAGACATCTATCCCGACACGACAAGACCGCCAGCCAATCAACGAACCAGGGAAACCCCCTTTTCCAGCAATGCTGACAAAGGGAATCCCAAAAGGAACGCAAAGACAAACGCAAGTTAGCCTCCAGACTCTACCTCTAACAAGAAATGATAGAAGGGTTAAATAAATTGTTTAGGTCAGGTCTTAGAAGTGCATATATTGCTAGAAACTTTTGAACGCTTTTATCATGTTCATTTTACGATCTCGCTAGTTTCCAGTGATTTCTTTCTGATAAAACTTCCATTTCTTGGTGAATTGATGGGTTTGTTCCAGAGAGGCGTGTTAAGAGCGGGTTTATAGTGAAGCACCTGACGGTGGAAACGCAGTGTGGTTATGGGCTTGGTGCTCCAGGTCCGAGGCTATATTACCCCCGCCCCGCCGCTAAAAGCCCTGCTCGCACTGGCCCGACAGTGGAAAAGCCGCTATTGGTCGGGTCGGCACCGCTGCGGAGTAGCCCAGTACCTGCGTGGCTCGTCATAGACATAAACTCAGAGAAGCAGCTCCGGCTACAATGTTCTTCCGCAAAACACATGCAGTTCTGTTTATTAACCGCTAAAGCTCCAAAAGTTACAGACTGCAGCTTTAAAGTCCCTATTATCTGTCACGTACACACATATGGCGCACTGATTAGGGATCAAAATTAGGGATTCAGGAAATTTAGAAATTAAGTTGTCTAAAAATGAAGAGGTCAATAGCGGGTTACTTTAAAAAACAAAGTGTGGAGGGCGAGGATGCTGGTGGAAGGGACGAACCAATGAGCCAACATACACAGGAAAAAGAAAAGGCACCACCTCCAGCAGATTATAATGCTGGTGCTCCCAACATCTGCGACAGTGTGCAAAAGAGGATTTTCATGTCAGAAGAGAATAAAGTCAGACGTTAGAGCAAGTCTGCATACTGTTAAGTTGATATACTGTGTAAGCCCGGCTCGGTCGATCCAACGGCAGCATCCGATCAGCGGGGAAGGTCTCTGCGTGTTACTGTCTTTCCACGTGGCAAAGTATTTTGATTAAATGAAATACATTTTCTCATATGTATTTTCTCGTTATTTCATCTGACTTCATAAATGAAAAGGTTTTAATGATATCTGTGCATCATTAAATGTGAGCAAATATTTGAATATTCTTTTTAACTCTTTACTGAAAATAATGTCAGAGTTGATTAGAATAAAATTAAATGTTTACAATTTATTATGTCAGGTAAATGCATCATGTCAATTTCATAATCAGTTCAAAGATAATCAATACAATAACATCAAATGAGTAAAAGATGTAGGTTAAACCCGACATTTACAAATACATGATGCGGAGTGCTGGCATCCACTAATTTTGAGTTACAAAACGCCTGATTCCTTTGCTGCATTTTATTATATGGACAGAAACCTCTTTCACAAAGAAACATGTGATAACAATGGGAATTTGAGAGCAGAGGACAATTTGCCTGAAAGTCACACCCTTCTGTGTGCAAGATATTTATAAACTCTTACAAGAGTGAGTTCAAATGGTAATGTCCTTTGTTCTTTTAGAGAGTTGCCCTCTCTTCCAGTTCTTCCAGTTTTACACATCGTAATTGGCTAAAACACATGCAATTAAAACGCAATCAAATTATTTCTCATCTCATGCACTTAAACGGACAAATTCACACATTTTCATTAACCTGAGATAAATATGAGTTAAAATATACTAAATATATAATACTATATAAATGTCTCATTTCCAAATAAGTAAACCCAAAGATAATAAAGTTCTTAAGAGTTTATAAATATCTTGCACACAGAAGGGTGTGACTTTCAGGAAAATGGTCCTCTGCTCTCAAAAGGTGTAACCTCTGAATGCAAATTCCCATTGTTAGCACATGTTTCCATGTGAAAGAGGTTTCTGTCTATATAATGAAGGAAAGGAATCGGGCGTTTGGTAATTCAAAATTAGTGGATGCCGGCTCTCTACATCATGTATTTGTAATTATATTCACAGCTTAAATATTCAACCATGTTGAATTTCAGCCCATTAAAATGCAAACCCTAAAAATAGAATGCATTCAATTCCAAGCATGGTTGATGCAATGCATATTTTTTTCAAGTAGTGCAATTCAACAGGCTTTTTTGTTTCAAAAACATTTTTGGCATTATTTTACTTCCATATGTTAGTCTTTATTTTAAAATGGTTTAAAAAAAAAAATGGTACTCTGTTACTATTACTATTATTATTTTTATTGTGTTTTTGTGAAGCATCTTTGTCATCAGAAATGTTGTTTTAAGGTGCTGTATAAATGAGTGACCTTGAACAAACGTTCTTGATAATCTCAGGAGGTATTTGATGGTAATGAAATTACGGGCATGCGACGTCTAGTTACGTTGTCAATTCGTCAAGTCATGACATGACCAAAATGTACGAATACATTACTGTTACGGGTTAGGTATCTATTACGGGTTAGGTATCTATTCAGCAAACTGCAGGAAATGAAAGTGAAAGTAAGAAGTTGCTGATGTTCAATAGACAGTCGTCTCCTATAAGACAGCTCTCTCCTATTGCGGTCTTTAGTTTTTAAATTAGCAGTTGATCAGTAAATTCCAGCTGTTGCTTTCGGTGACGTGAACTCCATTAAATCTGCATAACCTATAGAGCAGGAATTGAAGGTCGGATTTATATTTGCGGGGACACATTTATGTGACCATGTGTAAATCAAATAGTTTTGATAAATCAGATAGCGGTCTGATCAGTAAAAACGCCTGAAGTGGACAGGTGTGTGTAGACAGACCCTAACAGCTCTGAAAGACACTTCACTGAGGCGTTTCTGACAACATTTGCGTGGAAAAGAGAAAAGCGAAGCTGAGTGACTTTGAAACAAGGAACTATTCAAGGAAAGTTCATACATCACAATGAAGACATCGATGTCTTATTCCTGGCATCTTACCTCTTTCTGAGAGGGAGAGGAGCTTTGAAATGCAGAAATATATCTCTCCACGTCCGCTTTATTCCTCCTCATGACTGCTGTCAAACTCTCCTTCTCCGTCGCGGGTTTAGCCGAGTTTCATTCAAACACGAGCAGCTTCTGATCAATGGCTGCTCAACACACGATCACTAATGACATTATGCGTTCAAGTCCTCCTGAAGCGTAGGTACGAGGTGGGAAGTCCTGTTTACAGGTGTGTTCACGTCACTTTCCTCGGAGTAAGATGGCGGAGTACTTTCTCTTAATTAATTACACAAAAATACAGCAAGGTTCTTAAACTCTTGTTCCAGAAAATGAAGAACAAAGAAATCTGCATCCGGTGTAGGCTACTTTGTTTTTTATGTTTTTAATTAATTTATGAAGACACTGCCAACTTTATCGTTACATGTTGCATTGTTATATTATAATGGCATCATATTCTGTGCAGGCAATCAGCTTACTGCGCTGTAAATAAAAGCCTGACAATATCACAGCCTTTAAGTATTGTGGTATTCCATGTTTCTCAGTGACACACCAAGTGATCTAAATCCAAAATTTGTAATTTTGAACTCCTCCCGGAGAAGCATGTCTTTTCTTAATGTTTTTTTTTAATCCTCCTGGCTCTAGGCATCTCATTTCTAAATGTGTTTGTTTATTTGAAAGCCCTACTGTAAGATAAAGAGGCCTGGGAGTGGAGCTCTCGTGGGACAAGTGCTTGGCTACGATACAGTCAACAGCAGACTCCAACTGATCCAAGTCACAGTTATTCACCACATTACAGCAAGCCAAACTGCATAAAGATCCCGCTCTGTTTCACCACTGTGTGACAGGTGTAAGCTGGCAGAGGATACTGCTTCTCATGCTATCTAATGCTGGGATTATGGATTATGGACATGATCTCTGATTCTATTGAAAGGTTTTCCGCTGTTTGGGGTCGTTCACTTCTTGGGCGTTTAACCGCTCAGTCGGACCGCAGTGACTTCTCTAAGGGTTCAGCTGTTGCAGCTTATTGCACTTTTATATATTGGACCAATTATATAATATAATTTTTTTTCTCATTCTTTCCTTTTTTTCTTTTTCTTGTGCGTGTGTGTGTGTGTGTGTGTGTGTAGTAGTCTGAGCCAGTGTTTGTTCTGTTTTAAAGAGGCTATATGCGTTTTTCTGAAATTTAAACTCGCGACTGACACCTGTGGCCAAAAAACAGAACTGCTCTTCCTTTCTGCTCGCTCTCGCAGCGCTCGTACGTGCACACTTCACAAGTCATCTGCTGCAAGGAGGTCAACATTATGTTTACAGAGGTAAGAACAGTCAAAAAATCGCAAAATCCATTGCACTGCTTGCGAGTGTAGGCTACTTGCTGACTAGCGGTGGTGGCAGAGTGGTCTGAAACGTTTAACATGAACGCGCCTGACGTCACATCCGCAGACAGCGAGGGGAAATCCGACCCGACAGAAAATAGGAAAAATAGAATACAGGCTTATAGGTGCACCCAATGTGAGCGGACAAGGTGTCAGTATGCTCATCAGGAGATGTTTGAGTCATAAATGGTCAAATGAAAAGGCTATTGTTACGTTTATTTTTGGGAAAAAGTTACATATAGCCTCTTTAACTTGAAAAATCCTTTAAAATAAACTATTAAAAAAAAGTTATGTGATCTAATAAAAAAAAAATACAAGACAAACAAAACATTTCCTCAATAAAATACAATTAACTTTTGCATATAAAATAATGGCATTTTTTAATAATTAAAAATAAACACATTTTTTAGTTTGAACACGAACACACTGGAAAACACAGCTTTACAGCATAGTTAAAAACAGATGCACCGATGCGACTTTAACAGTCCCGATACCGATGACGATGCCTGGGCTTTGTGCATCTGTCGATACCTGATACCGACCCGATACCGTTGTTGAATTAATAATAAACTGTATACTTCCAGCGTATACCTTCCTTCCTCCATGTGGAAGAGACTAAAGGCACCAGACTTTCCTAACTAAGACAAAATAACATAGATGTAATGTATCGAGTTCTTATTTATTTGTTATTTAAAAATTAATCGAAAATAGAATGTAATCAAACTTCTTAAAATAAATGTAAATAAATAAAATGTAGCAGTAGAAACAAAATAGTGTATTGGTCAAACATATAGTAATCAAACAGTTACCAAACATTGTAAACATTTTTAAAAATATTTGAATTCTTATTTTTATTTGTGATAAAAAAAAACAATTGTGCATTCAAATCTAAAACAGAATGCAATCAAACTTCTTAAATTAAAATAAATAAAATTTAGCCGCAGAAACAAGAGTGTATTGGTTGAACATAAAATAGTAATCAAACACTAACCAAACATTGTAAAAAATATATTAAGTGCAAAGTCCTGCAAACAGAATTCAAAATAAAACAGCAGCTGACCCTGAGAATAAACTAATAAAAAGTTGGTTAAACAACTTGGTCACACATACAAATAATAACCAAACATTGTGAACATGTAGTGCAGTGTCACACCTCTCATGACCTGTGAATGCTCACTTAATCAGCAATGGCAAATTCTGTCCCGTGAAGACAAGCGTTTCTGCTCTCTCTGCTGCAAGTCCATTTCTCTTTTCATCCACAGTGTTGGAAACTGCTGAACTCTCTCTCTTTCCACACGAGTGCAGGGGCAGGAGTGCAGGGGCACGGGGGTATTCTGTGCAGGTCCAACCATGTCTAGGATTTTCTAAAATATAGTGGGATCAGTGAGCGGCCCCTCCCCAAATGGCATAGCCTGTCGGCCTGTGGCGTAAAGCCATCGAACACCTCTTTTTTTCCTCGTCACGTTTTGGAAGTCTAACGTTAACAGACAGTGTGTGAGTGAGTCTAAATGACGGAAAGGCAAAAAAGAAAAGGGAAAGATGGCGCTGAGAGGGTTAGACTCAAAGGAGAGGAGGAGGAGGAGGAGGAGGAGGCAGCGAAATGCTCCAAAATGTTTGGGGAAAAATGTGTTTGTCATTTGATTTTTTCTGTTATTATTGTATGTTGTTGACTTCAAGATCTTTTAAATAATAATAATTACACTTGGTATTTCACTTAGTTGTGCAGTCATTTTATTTAGTTTTAGATTTCAGCATTTACTTATTCACAGGGAACCTTTTTGAAGAAACCTACACAAACTTCCCTCTATAATCTATTCTAAACCAAGCATTTGTGCAGTGTCTTCTAGTGGTGAGATTGCAGATTGCAGGGTATTAACTGCTTTAAGTGTGTAGAACAAGACCTAAAACACGACCTTTGCCAAGGTAGCAATTTCACTGGATCTAAACATGGAACCATAGATGTGACCAGCGGTGGCTTTCTTAATCTATTTAAAATAGTTTTGCAAGGGTTCTATGACATTAGTATATTTTTTTTACAAAAAAAAAAAAAGGTAATAATTTACCCCGAGGGCTGGTGGTCTACGAAATGTCCCGGTAGATGTTTTGGTCCCACTCCGCCCCTGTTGATTATTCTGTTCATTTTTAACCGAAACATCTTTCCACCATGAATGTCTGCACATGACCTCCTCACTCCGTCACAGGGAGTTCATTTAATTTCTTTTCATTTAGAAATTAAAACATGACTAACAAGAAGATTAACATTACCATATGTACACCAACTCTACAGAAGAACACACATACAGGTGTGTGTAAACATAAAGTTAATGTACAAACACACACCTTACAGAATCTGAAAATGTAAATATTTAAAACTAAATTTTAAAGTTAAGTTTTTAACTTTAAAGCTTTTAACTAAAATGTTATTTAACGCTGCCTAACTACTTCACTTTACAGATGTTTACATGTAGTCCACAAGACAAAATAAATGCATTTACAGAAATGTCCCTAGTTTGTCCTGAACAGTTAAACTGACCATCGTTCTTCAGGAAAATCCTGCAGCTCCTGCAACTCTGGATTTCCAGCATCTTCTGCATATTCCTAAAAACTATCATCAAACAGACGTGTGTTGTGTGTGTGTGTGTGTGTGTGTGTGCTATCTGGGAGTGGAGATTTGTCAAACATACACCACAACAATGTTTTCATAGGTAAAAAAAAATGAAAACACCCAGACTTTAAAAGCAGTATCCAGCTTTATTTAGCATTTTAAAAGCAAAATCCAAATTGAATTCCATAAAGTGAAATATGTGAAAAATAAAAAGTTTTAATTACATGTATACGCCAAATGCATGAGTACAGAATGCAGCACTTTTCATGACTTGTGAATCAAACACTTCAGTCGACTTCAGATACATATAGCCCTATCCGGACGGTAATTGTTTCTCATGTAGACGTCCATAAAAATAAATTTGCATGTCACCTCAGTGATAAACTCATGCATTCGGATGGCGATTTATTGGCGATGGAAGAGCGGGTTTTGTGATCATATGAACCCAGGAACACACCGCTCATGTGGTCAGGCACATGATTGTCTGCTGTAAATAAAATGTCATATGCTTGGAATAACAAGAATGAATTCATATTTAACTTAATAATAGGAAAATAGCCTAATATCCTATTTATTATTTGATTACTTAAACCTTCTGTTTAAAAATAAGATTTAGGCTATGCACTAATAAATGTCTGTATTATAACTTATCTCAAAAGGAAGGATGTCATTTTAAAAATGTGAAAATTAGTGGAAATAAGTTAATAAAGCCAGTTAATAATTAATACAAAATTACATGAGGCAAACCCAAAGCTGCTCGGTTTATTTTTCTAATGTAGGCTATATAATTTCTGCCATAATAATGGACCATTTCAAATGTTTATGTGCTTTTCTTCTTTATCTTTTGAGTGGTGATTAAATATTGTTCTTGTAAATACTTTCCAGTAATACAGTAATAGCCTACGCTAGATCTTTAAAATGCATACGAATTAATTGGGAACATTTATTGTACGGTGCTCTGCAGTGGTCAAAAAGTAGTTAAACAGTGAATTTTAAATGAATCTTTTCTTGCAAACTGAGAGATGTGGATTCGGGCGACAATTAAATTACCACACGCCCTTGGTGTTTGTCAAAAAAACAGTAGGTAACACGGCTGGGGATTACGTGGCTGGAGA